TATTTTGGGCGACAAATTGTCAGGTTGTTTGGCAAAGATTTCGAAATAAATAGTGGCCCAAAGCAAAGACCACAATCAATTACGTTATTTATGGTGGTCATTTCTTGCTTTGTTGGTCGGTTGCACTTTTTCGAGCTTTTACGTAATAAATAAGATGGCAAAGCAAAATTGTCACATCCCCATATGAAAACGTATTGAGATCCGCCGTTTTTTTTTGTCTTGTTTCTAAAAATGTTTTCACAGACAATGGATTTTTATTTTTTTGACTTCAGCTAAAACACTTTTTTGGGCACAATTACTTTGGAATTCACACCTTAGCAATCTATTTGTTATTTTTCTGAGGTTGATATTTTTTTGTAATGTAATAATAATTTAAACTTTTCCGAAATTTGAAAATCTCCACGCGCGTCTTAACACAATGGGAAAATTTCGCAACACGTTAGACGTTCAAAATAGTACTGAGCGAAAATTTTCGTCCGTATATCTTTTGCCTGTGTGCCAGACAGAAAATCTGTTTACCGCTGGTCATCAACATTGCGTTCTTCTTCATCTTAGCCCAAAAAGATCTTCTTTGCATATATCTCAAGCAGATTGAAAACATAAAGAGTGCCAACGAAAGAGATTTTCATTTGACAGAGAAATGGTGAGAGACATGGGGAAAGAGAGAGAGAGAGCATGGGCACAGAGACCCCAGCACCAAATGAACATTTGAAAACTGCATGAAGATCACATGCAAATAACTGGGGAAATCCTTTACACCCAACAAACAGACAAACCGACACACACACACATAGACGCACACAAATCATTCGCATGTGACTTGGGTGGCAGATGGCAAGTGGTGGCTAATGATACACCTTTCCATTCCTAACAAAAAAAGGGAACATTACTCAGTCCATTTTTTCAGAAAAAAATTTAGGAATGTACCGAAAATAAAAGTCTGACAAACAAACAGATGATAGGACTTAATTAGAATTCAGCACGTGATTTCGATACACTGATTTCAACTCCAGCAGATTCTGCCGTGGAGCATATTTCTCTAAAAATGTAGTTTTGTTATTTTGCATAGCTGATGTACTTATGCCAGTATGGTATTTTATATAATAATAATAATAGTACGTTTATAATTTACGGATGTAGAACACCAAGTGCATTTAAATTGTCAATTTAACCCAGCAAAATGCTCTAATGTAAACATACCATTACTCAGTGTTTTATATCATTGTAGAAGAATACAAGTAGGAACATCGACACAGCTGCTGGGAATTTTTTGAATGAAAAATTATTCAAATTTGGAAAAAAATGTTAAAGACGCTTCTTTTAACAACCTTCAATTGACGTCGTGTAAGAAAACATATAAAAATCTACTTATATTTGAAAAAAAAAAACATTTTAAAATTGTTGACATATCAGTGTTCCCAAGCGTTAATGCATCTATTTGTATTCTTCTACCATGGTTTTATACCCAAGTAAAAAAAACACAATTCGATATCAAGGCCTATACAGGGTGAAATGAAAAACCTGCAACCAACTTCAGACTGCTGTCAATTCTAAGCGACTCGTCCGACAACTGTTAAAATTATTCCAGTGACAGCTCCTTATATTGTTTACAAGGGACAAAAGCCTTTTGGTAATGGTGTGGGTCGCTCTCCGCTCTTATTAATCGACTGTGGCATTAGAATAAATGCCGAATATTGTCACGAAAATATTCTGGGGAGTGTATTGAAGCCTTGGGCATGCAAACATTTTGGCCGCGACCTTGGGCATTCCAACAGGACTCAGCACCATCGCACTCAGCACGCGCCACCTAATAGTGATTACAAAATGAGGTTTCTCGCTTCATTTCCAGCGCACAATGGCCACCAAAACCTCCTGATACCAATCCATTGGACTATTGTGTCTGGAGTATTTTGGAAAGCAATGTTGGCACTAAAATATACCAAAGTCTCGATCACCTCAAGCAAGCGCTTCGGCGAGAATGGACCAAAATACCACAGAGTAACATTCGGGCAGCGTGTGACGGTTTCATTGGCCGTTATTCGTGCCACAATTCGTGCCAAAGGTGACCAATTCGAACAAATCTAAACATATTCTAATATTTGAAGCTATTCCCGACATTTTTTGCTTTCATTCAATAAAGTTAAAAAAATGTAAAAATTGTGGCGTTTGACTTTGTTGCAGTTTTTTATCTCACCAATACAGGGTGATGGGACTTATAGCTATGTACTTTCAAAACTTTTAATCATAACACAATATACATATCTGCCGAATAATATTCAAAGAAATTTCAAAATAATAATTCAGAAATTCACAGCAGTCGCGGTGGTTTTTAGGCTAATAAAAATATATGTAACTTGTCAAAATGGCTAAACACCCCAAATTTCGGACATGTAAACATACCCACACACACACACTCACACTCATATTATAATGTGTAAAACCATAACAATTAATTGTGTATTCGAACATCTTGGCATTTTATTTATTTCATTTCACATATGTATATGCATGTACATACATACATATAGATATGTATGGACGGCAGACTTGTCGCATAAAAATAGCCCCCCGGGAAACAAACGATAACCTGTGAGGCGTTCAACTGTCTGCCGTTAGGCAACAGCAGGCGATTCAAGAGAAATTCCTACATTTTACACATCATCTTCATCATGAATTGGGTTTTTTGCTTTTTTTTTCTTTCTTTACTCTTGGTTCTGTTCTACATCCTCAACATGAATATTGAATGCAATTTGCATGCAGATTGCATTGCCAGTATTGGTGGTGACCAACCGACCGCCTTACATAAAATTCATTCATGCAACATTTTGTGGTGGGTATTGCAAAGCATTTTTGTTGTTTTAATTGCAACGTCATCGATGCATTATGATGCGATTATGATGATGGCGATGATGGTGGTGACCACTCAACCCTTGTCTTCATTGGCAAATCTTTCCATAAACAAATCACAACAAAATAATGTGTGTTTAAATATTTTCTTTTTTTTAGAAAACTAAAATTGTTATTTTATCTGGTTTAGAATATGGAACATTAGGGTGCCTCACAAATTACTGTTTGAAAAAAAGAAACAAAACAATCTCATTATCATTCACAACCTTTTAACATATGGATTTCTCGTGATCCCGCCTAATTCCAGATGTGATAAGCTGCAGTACTTTGATTTAATATGTAAAACAATTGCGGAAAAATATTTTATGAATATTGTCTTGTCAATTGATGTCTTTAAATGAATTGACGTTGATTTGTTCGTATAAAAATACATATTGAACAAAAAAAAATACATACAGGGTGTCCCAAAAGAAAACGATTGACGTTTTTGTATTATAATCGAACTTTGACATAGAACAAGTAAAAGAGCAGCTATGTTCGGTCGGGTCGAATGTTTTGGATTTGTGGATTTTGAAATTTTAGACTAAATTTAGTTCGGCATTTTCTTTTTATTTGTAACACATATTAAAGCCCACCCTCTATTCATGCATACATATATACGTATGTACATTTGAGAAACTATTTTCTATGCAAAGAATTACACAAAGATAGAAAAACGAGTTCAGTAGTCCGCCAAGTGGACAGACAGACAACTTTCGCATCAACTACTAAATTGCATTACATATAAATATTTGAGGCGTGTCATGATTGATGCAACTGAATATATGCTCATTAGTAATTAACATGAGGATCTCTGTGTCTCATTTGCCAGAGAATACTTTAGAACGAAATATTTTTGGTGTTTTCAAAATGTAACAAAAGTAAAAAAGCAGCTAAGTTAGGCTGGGCCGAACTTTTAATACCATCCACCATTTGGAAGGAACGGCAACTACCACTTAAATCTATACGACTATACGAAGACGTGGACCTGCTTACGACATTTTTTGTCATAGGGTGTAGTACCCATTACGAACTTTAAATACGAAATTTGTTACGATTCCGGTCAATAATGTCGCACAAATCATAAAAATACCGAGTATCGGGAGGTACCGTCATATGGGGGCTATACGAAGACGTGGACCTGCATGCAAAAATTTTTGTCATAGGCTGTGGCACCCATTACGAATTTTAAATATGAAATTTGAAATAATTCCGGTATATAATGTCGCTAAAATCATGAAAGTACGGAAAATCGGGAGGTACCGTTATATAGTGTGGGTAAAGGAAAACGTGGACCGACAGGACCCATTTACGAACTTAACCTACCTACTGGTAAACTATTCGTGTATGCAATTTTAGCCTTCTATCTCAATTCGTTCGAAAGATAGCGTGATTACAACAAACATCGGACAGTCGGACAGATCTTCATAACTAGATCGTCTTAGAATTTTACGCTGATCCAGAATATATATGCTTTGTATAGACCCTACAATAAATATTTCAAGGAGTAACAAACAAAATGACAAAGTTAATATACCCTCCATAGAATGGTGGGGGGATATAAAAATATATGTTGTCAATTTATACAATTTGAGTTTAAATGGATTTTGAAGCTTTTTCTTTATGTTCACAAAAATTGTTCTGAATATGCATACGACTTCATATATTCATGGCAGTTTTTGTTGCTGTAATGTTCATATGGACCTGACTACTCCTCTGAGAAATTCAATTCGTTTTTTTTCACCCATTTCTAATCGTATACATATATACATATATGTTACAACAATAACAAAGAACTTGGTGCGACAAACGCCCCTTATAAATTATTTAAGAAAAAAAAAAGGAAAACAAAACAAAGTGGAACACTTCAGGTGACAATCGATCGGATAATTGTATGTTTAAAGTTCACAACAACTTCCGCTATCAATTGCCCATGCTGGCCTATGAATATTGGATAATTTCCAAATATTTGTTCTGTGGCAGGAATGACAGCCATTGTATATCAAAAAACCCCGTGACGCATGGCGCCATATGCCTCACTTCCCTTTCTCCCGCGCTTGCTTGCTTGCTTGCTGCCTCCCCTTAAACCAAAAACCTTATAATTATGTACTTACTTCCAGTATAGGCGATTGATTTTCCAGAGGCACTAATGGTTTTTCCGGTATGGGCCGGGATGTAAAATAATATGCCGAAGCTGCAGCGATGCCGGTAAGCGTTAGCACTCCGGCTGTGCCGCCAAAATAATAAAGATAGCCATCGATTTCATCAACTGTAATTAGAACGAAAACGAGCATAACAGGTAATTATAAAAAACCGAAAGTCCATTTAATGGCCAACTACAATTAACAACTACTACAGCCAACCTTAAAAAATAAACCAATACTTACACAAATATGAAATGTTGCTCATTATGAAATGATTCAAATAGGCCCAAATTGACTTTTCTGGCGACATATGTAATTGTTGTTGTTTATCTTCTTCTTATTCTTCTTGTGCTGGCTACTGCTAAAGTTGCAATGAAAAGAGAGTTTTCTTTGGCCTTTTCTTCAATCCGTTGTTGTTGTTCTTCTTATTATTTTAATTTTACTATAAATAATGTCTTAGAATTTGGGTTCTTAAAAATTATTCATCGATGCGGTTTTTTTTTTTCAATACGTGTTTTGAGTTCCTGAGTTTGTTGAATTAAGATGATTAGTACGGATTTTAAAAATTATTTTATGTTATTAACGTCAAATCTGAAAAAAAATAAAAGAAGAAGTTATTGTTATTGTAAGGTTGCATTATTGCATTCGGAATCGATTTTTATACCCTACACCACAAGGTGGTCAAGGTATTAAGTCTTTATGCATTTGTTTGTAACACGCAAACGGAAACGAGATAGACCCACAGTTCCTTTTGATGGTCTGCACAGAATCACATCCTGAGTCGATTTATGCATGTCAGTCCGTCTGTCTATCCATGTATTTTTGCACAAGTCATTTATTTGACCCAAGGACGAACCCTTTTGAAATGGCAGATAATCGGTCAAAATTTAGATATAGGTCCCATATATATCTTCGACAGATTTTCCTTTGAATCTGCTCGATTTCAAGGGAATTTTTCTCACACTCTGAAACGAGCATAATACACTCACTCATATACAAGCAACTTCGAACAATAGAGTATTCTCGGATTAGTTCCAACTCCCGGGAGTGCTACCACTACAATAAAGGGTGAGATGAAAAAACTGCAACCAACTTTCTAAACCACTCGTCCGACAGCTGTTAAAATTATTCCAGTAACAACTCATTATACTGTTTACAAGCGTACAAAAGCGAAAGTGGTAAACTGCCGAATTTGGTTTTCTCCGATGAGAAAACATTCGTTGTCCAGCAGTTTGTAAAAACAAAATCAAAATGATCGTGTTTACTTGCCAAAGAGGGTAGCTGAAAATGTACACCTTCGGTTGGCCACCAGAACTCAAACGGCGACCATGGTGATGGTGTGGGCCGGCATAACAGCTTATGGTCGCTCTCCGCTCGTTTTAATCGATCGTGGCATCAGAATAAATGCATTTTATTATCGCGAATGTATTCTGGAGGGTGTATTAAAGCCTTGGGCACGTATTAAAGCCTTGGACATTCCCACAGGACTCAGCACCATCACATTCAGCACGTACCACCCAAGAATGGTCACAAAATGAGGTTCTCGCTTAATTTCCAGCGCACAATGGCCACCAAAATCTCCGGATGCCAATCCGTTGGACTATTGTATCTTGAGTATTCTGGAAAGCAAGGTTGGCACTAAAAAATACCAAAGTGCCGATCACCTCAAGCAAGCACTTCGCCGATAAATACCAAAACAGAGCAATATTCGGGCAGCGTGTGACGGTTTCATTGGCCACTTGAAGGACATGATTCGTGCCAAAGGTGACCAATTCGAACAAATCTAAACCTATTCTAAAACTTAGATAAAAAATGTAAAAATTATGGCGTTTGACTTTGTTGCCGTTTTTTAATCTCACCCTGTAGTTGTGCTCCATCCGACATTTCTATCCCCATTTAATGAAAGTCGAATGAATCGTTTTAGTGCTCTTCTTTTACCATTCTCTTGCAGTTAAAAAAAGGTTAATAATGCCCTACATACACACAAATAATTCTATATATTTACAATAGATCTGCCGAAATCAGAGTGGACATTGAAACGTCCTCTCATTTAGGGTAAAGAGAATGTGAATTTAAACTCTAGGTTCCAAAGAGGTGGGGAAGTGACCTATTTAAGTGGTTTATTGGTTTTTTTTATTGTCCTTGAGGACACAAAAAGTTTAACCACAGCAATTGAAGACAGGTAACTTTTTTTGTTTCTTGCTCAAAAAAAAAAACAGTTGATGGAAACTTGAACATATGTCAGTTATAAAAATACATTAATCGCCCAGAACTTACATGCGTTGGTTCCCGGCTTAAGTATGAATATTAAAGGTGTATGGAAATGAAGGCATCTGGTCATACGGGGGGACAGTTCGGATGTGCATTTCAATAACCACAATTTAATGAGGCAACTTTACAAGAGGCAAACTCAATATCGCAGTGAACCCTTAAAATTAAAAATTCTACAACAACAACGACCTTTTATATTTCATGTTTTTTTATCGAACGTCTGCAACCACTGACACGCAATGCAAGATAACAAATAATGTGCATGGATTCTTTTAAGTTTTGTTGTTGTTGTTATTTTTTTAACTCTTGGTAACCGGAAAAGAAAGATATCCAGCCAAAGCGTTCTCCAGCTATCACAAAATAAGACTGAAACGCCCCGAAACGCCAAATAGTTTTTCTTATTTGCAACGCTAATCATTGTTTTGTCTGGCGTCCTCTGGATGTGGAGCTAAGAATAACATTTGTTGTGTCTCTGCCCTGTCGCCCACCACAAGAAAAGAGGCTGCAGCAAATAAAACAATATCAAAAAATGCAAACAAACGAAAACAAAATAAGTCTAAAGTTCTTTCGAAATAAAAGATAAGAATTTTTTATTTGCAGATTGAATATGACCTCAAGAGTCAGGCTACAGTCTAGCAAATCTATTGCAGGAGCAATCATTTGCTTCTTAATGTAACGAATGCTGTTTGAATGTATAGGTCAGGAACGAGAACATGAAATTAAAAAATAAACACTTTTACAGTTTTTAAGAAATGTTGTTCTTTTTGAGTAAAAGTTAGAGTTTATATTTATTAGCTGTTAGTGAGATAAAAATGTTATTTAAAACTTAACACGTTTGATACCTAATGCAGAGCTCAGATATGTTCGAGCTAGTTTCATTCTCTACATAAATTTGAGCGGGAGAACTCCTGCGAGAGAAAACAAACAAGTCAAGCATACTCTAAGATCGTGTGCTAGTTTTCGCCTTTTATTAATGTGTAGTTTTTAGACATCTTTGCGATAGACGACTTTCTACAAACCCCTCCTTATGTGGCATGTTCTCACTAAAAGTGACCCAAAATATCCATATCCTAGACATTATCCGACATATCCGGCCATTAGATGAGAGTATACATATGTCTGAAAAATTGAGTGATAGTTAAATGATTAACACCCTCTTAAGAAGAGCACTTTTGGGTTATTATTTATAAATGTTCTGTATCGGATATGACGCAGATCTTATGCCAAATCTTATGAAAATGTCAACCGTCGATACATAATTCCTAGCTTATGATAAAACATATTTCAGGTCCCTTGTCTGCCACTCTCTTTTTAAAAAATGAGTGCAAAGCCATATAACCATAGACAAATTAGGTATAGACTAAAAAGTTGTCTCATCTGTTATCTCTGGAAAAAATGCTTCAATAGATGTCGTTCATGCTGTGAGAGAGGTTCAGTAGACACACTCAATACTCTCAAATACAAAATATTAAATATTTTTATGATTCTTTATTATTTATTAATTAAAAACGATACATCGACTTTGTTTACTTTTACATTATCCAAATACGTCGTGAAATATAAAAATATAGAACTTAAATAGCGGAAAAATGAATAAATTGTTTTCGAAGTCGAGTGACTTCACTAGCCCTGAGTGACTTGACTGGCCCAAGATCAACAATATTGACATCTGCCGGAAGGGAAAATTTTAAAATTTTTTAGTCTATACCTTTATTTGTCTATGATATAACGGTAAGCGATGATTGAACAGCATCTTTGGCAACGAAAATTTTGCTGGGATATAAACCTAACATGATGTGTAATATAGGCTTTAGACTAGATGTTGCTATTTCCCCGCACACAATCTGAACTACGTCTTTGACATATTTTTTTTAAAGCTTATCTTTGTTTCCCATGAACTTTCAAATGTGTTTGCTTCTAACTTGACATTTTTGAGTTATGACCCTCTTTGTATCAATGCGCCATTGCTATTTTGTGTACACATTTGACTGACACTTTTCAGTTAGTTTGTCAGTCAGTCGACCCCAATGACAAAAATAGCAGCATCCATTATGTATGTCTTTATGGGCTAACTGTCTTGTTAGCCTAAAATCCATTGTAGGGCCTGTTTCATTGGCAGTATTTATTATCGCTGTTTGTTATGTATCTAATTCGGTTTTTTTTTTTTTTTGTGGCATACATTTTTGAGGAGAACAAGTATTTCACTTGTCTGGAGCACAAATTCACACATACACACACACTGACATCGGGGTGGAGGATAAACAGGATGGGACACAGGCATTCACATACCTAAATCGTTAACAAATCCATCAGTTATTGCATACAATTATGTAGATATGTGTGTTTGTTTGGTTGTATGGGCTACCCGCTACGAGCTGGCTGGCTGCATTTGATCATACAAACACACACACACATAAACACAACAACATCACACGTTTATACAAATAAAACGCTGCTGCATTCAATGTCTGGCTTTGTTACCAATTGAAGCACCCACCCCCTTTTGTCTTTTGTGTAGATGGTTGTGCATGTACATACAAGGAAATGTGTGTTTGTGTGTGTGGTTGTTTTTGTCTTTTCTGTCGGCATTGACTTTGCAAACACAAAAACAAAAATCAATACTATTTGGCCATTTGTATAAATACTACCTACATTGTTAATAAGTCCAAGCAAGAAAAGAGAATGAAACAAAAAGATGCATAAATAAATAATAAACCAAACAACACCACCCCCCCCCCTCTCACCGATATTTTTGCCTTGTCGTATCAAAGGTCAAACTCATTTGAGGAATATGCTCTGATTCCAATCAAAATAAAAAAGAGGACATGGACAAACTTACCGCTACTGTTGTTAACTGTGGCCTAGGTTTTTACATCCGCCGTTCGATTGTTATATCCTTCGTTCCAGTTTATTTTATTTTATTTTTTCAACCAATTTCTACAAATATTTATAACGGATGTATTGTATATTTCGGGGGAGATGTATCGATTAGTTTCTGCAACAAACGTTTCACGACACAATGTTTTGACTTTTACGTGTTTCGATTTATTTCGTTAAAATGTGAATTTGTTAAATTAACTTTTTGTTTTATTTGTTAATATATCTTCATTAAACTTTGTTTCTTACTTTCTAAAAGCGAGCATAAATGTTGCAAACATTTGTGGTCTTATTAGCTTTGTAGGTTCTGAACTGGCTAAGAGGCGAAACAAAGAGACAAAAAGTCAATAATATATTAGGTATGTAACATGCCGTATGTGTGTGTGTGTTGTATTGAGGCGTTTTATTAGTTCAAGGATAATTTTTGTCAAAAATTGTATGTTTTTTTCTTCTGACATTCGTTCGTACGCACAGACACACGCTCAGGCTCAGAACTTCAATGTTTGTTGGTAAGATGGCTGTGCAAGCCATGCACAAACCTACGAACGTACAAATGTATATGCGTAAATAAGGAGCTTTGCCATTGCAGTCTAACAGTTTTCTACCAAAATAAGTGCTCAAAACCTGACCAAAGAAACGAGGTCGGAAATTTATTGGAATATAAGCCATGACTGTATATCATCCATATACAGACCCTGAAGACATGGATTCCTTTTTGACTACATTTTCATTCAACAATTTTGAGCCAAAATGGTCATGCCCCCACAATAAATTGATATTAAAAAAATCTACTTATGCCGATATTCCAATTAGAATTTTGGTCGAAAAAGTTGAAAACGGCAACGCCGGGTATATAAGACCAGGTACATGTATATACATATTTACTTACCTACATATATATGTATATAGGTATGTATGTATGTGTGCATGTATGTATGTTTCTGCACATAACAAAAGTTTGGAAATTTGCTGCTCAATTATATAAAACAAGGTTGTACCATTGACAAACACGTGAGTCCTGGCAACAGACAACAATAGCATTTACCAACTTAATGGACAAAAGACATGCATATTTCGTACATGTAGGTATGTAAGTAAAAATATTGGCACAAACGCACACATGCACAGTCCTTTTTTGCCAAAAATTAAAAAAGACAACGCATTCAAGCCAACGAGCAACATAAAACAACTGACCGAATAACGGCCCAAACTCGTTGAACAACGAATGCTAACGAAACTATATTCAAGAAGAATAGTGTAATAGGTGCCCGAGGCACCTGAATACCGGTAACCTCTACAATGGCCAACCTCCTTACTGGATATTTTAAGTCCTTCTCTTTTAAATAGGTGGTTTAATTTTATATATTTTTAAAATCCTAAAACACACTCGACAAATATGACACACATAATAATTTGTTTATTATGCCTTGTCCTTCATTCTTATTTTGGCCGTTTTTAAGTTTTCCTGTATTTCTCAATTCTCGTTTTTATGTCTGCACGAAGTCTTTGGTCTTTCTTTTTGACGGTGCGTGGTGGTAGGTACAACACTTGGCCAATTCCATTACCACAAAAGCAAAAGCAATCAAATACAAAGATGACGTCGGGTCTCCTTGTTTTTTACTCGACGTGAAAAGGGCCTTTTTCGTTATTTTCGACAAATATCATTACAAAATTACAAACGCAAACGAAGAATAAACAAATGTCGTTAATAAAATGTTTGTTTAAACACCTCCACCGATTCCAGGATAAAGAGGGTGTAGGTATATATTATTTTATTTATTTTTAGCACACAGAAACACAACACAATTTAGTAAAAAACCCAACGTCGTTAAAACTGAGACGACGTTTTTAAACTGAAACACAATTCCACTTTTGTCCAGACAAAAGCATGCTTACTTTTCGCCCACAAGAGAAAGAGAGGGTTGCTATAGCAGCAACCATGTCTCAAAACGCAGAGGGTGTCGTTAGTGATGCGCACAATTCAATGCCTCTCTTTGTCTCTCACACACACAGCCTTACATTTGACAACATCATAACCCAGCAAGCATTTGGAAGATTGTTTTTGAAAAAAAAAGAGATTTTGCTGAGTCTTCTTCGAGTCCTTTAGGTAATCAAAAAAAGATTAACTCACTTGTACGAGTGAAAAGCGACTCGAAAATAACTCCCACTAGTGAGTAAAATAAACTCAATTTAATACACAACAACAAAATGTATGTGAATCGCAATCGCATGCATGAATCACTGAACACACTGTTGACAAACTAGAGAGAAGGGTAACGAAAAAATGGATAAATGAGAGAGGGGGTAGAGATGGTTTTATACGAGAGAACCTCGCTTAGTTTACATCAAAAAGCCGGTTTTTAGTATTGGCTAACAAACATTAACAAATACGATGTTACCATGCCAGGAGAAAATTGCAACGACGAGTTCAGTTGTTCAAGTGTTGCCACTATTGCCTTTTCCAAACAAAAGCAATTAGAAAATTATCTTATAGGATTCAATAGAGGGGCGGCAATCTCAATATTTTCCAAAACCCCAGAGATAAAAATTATTCAAAATATCAATAAATTTCTTATATCTCTGCTCAAATAATGGGTTCTTAATTTTACTAAATCGTATTGGAAATTGCCTTCTAGCCAAAGTAGTTAGTTAGTCATGTCCAATATCGTTCTCATATTTCCCTCTATTACCAGCTTTAATACATACTTATGAGACCATTAAATTCAAAATTGTAAGATAACATTTTTTTGAGAATAGTTTAAAGATTTTTCTTTAAATTTGCCTACAAGTTGTAATAGTTCTCTAAATACGCGAACATTTTTCTAATAACAATGGCATTTAAATTTTTCCCTTTTTAATTTAGAAAAAATGATATCCAAAACATAATTCTCATTAGAATGAGGCAATAATAGTTCTATGTATGTTAGATTGATATCATTTCACCTCTCATGCTATATAGAAACTAGAAATAAACGTTAAGTCGTGAACATTGTTTTTTTTTTTTTGCTCTTATGATACAATCATTAACATATTTTAATGTAAAATATATTCATTATATATTTACGCTAATTAGACAACCTTAATTCAGTAATGTAATGTGAAATTTATGAAGAACTAACAAATATATCAATTTCGTAGTATTTTCTGAAATATTTTCTTTTTATTCTGTCATACTATTATTCTCAATTTTTGAGCTTTTTATGTAAAATACCGCGCTCTACCTCAACTCTCTTTAATAAAAACATGTGTTCAGGAAAATATCAAGTCTCCACTCCACTCCATCGGTCGTTTGTATTATCATCACAAATAGTAAGAAACCGCAATGGAAGAACCACAAAATAAAAAGAATGAATGACATGCAAACAAAGAAGAGTTGGATTGGCTAAACCAGGCATTTACTAAGCATTTAACATAATGTGTATACATTTCAATTGTTCTCATTACAATCAAGTGTTCGTTCGTCATAGAGGAAAGTCATGGCGAAATTGTTGACCGATAAAAGGGAATCGATACCCAATCTTTCTGGATTCTCCTCCACTGCTTCGTCTGTCGATCAGCCCATAGAAGAGGATGAAATTAGTGAAATAAGTGACAAATGTTGCAATGAAACTAACGCGGCTGGTGCTAAGAAGGGATCATCAAAACAATCCTCAAGTCCATACAAGATTACAATAGATGACCCAAATGGTGCAAACAGCTATGCTGGCAATAAAAACATAGCTGAGGGACTTATGGACATTTCCCTGTTGGCAGCCAACGCCAACCAGTTACGATTTCTAATCACCTACAATCACGATGCCTCCACATACTACATTAGCATGGCTTTGGTGTCACTGTCGCTAATAATGCAAATAACTGTTGGAATAGCTTTGATATTTAAGGTGAGTTTATGAATTAATATATTCCGAAATAGGTGTGTAATACGCATTTCTCTCGTTTTAGCGTCGTTTCCGTAGATGTCGAAATAAACGTTACAATGAGTTCATATTGGGCGGTGTGTTTGTCATAACCGTGGTGAATATACTACTGGCTGCTTTCACAACTACAAAGAATGATGTGAAATGATTTAAAATCCTACCTGCACGATACATATATAACACAGAGAAATTAAAATAAAATTTTATACATTTTTATTTGCGTAATACAAAAATAAATCACTGTTACAATCCCTAATTACAAAACAAAATACGAATATCTCAGGGCGGCGTTCCATTTAGAATGGAAAGTCACTCGGCGATATCCATTAAATGCACTGTTGGTATCTGTTACGATGTAGTATTCTTATCGATGGAAGGATGGTCTTTCATAACTAAACTCTAAAATTACATGCATGGCATGTGTTCACCGTCTAAGAGGAGTATTCCTTTTTGATGAGCTTGGCAATAGTGCTGAGTTGCATGTTGGTGGTACCTTCGTAGATGGCTCCAATCTTAACGTCACGGTAGTACTTTTCATGGGGGAAGTCACGAGTGAAACCAACACCACCCATCCAGTCGATACACTTAACGGCGGCACGTTGAGCAACTTCTGAGGCATAGTATTTGGCCATGGCGGCTTCCTTGGCGAATGGTGCACCATGTTCTACCATACGGGCAGCGTTGTAGGTCAACAAGCGAGCAGCTTCGATTTCGGTGGCAACAGTGGCGATTTGGTGTTGCATCGACTGGAAGCTGTAGATGTCTGAACCGAATTGTTTGCGTTCCAACAAATAGGGGATGGTGTGGTCAAAGATACCCTGGGCCAAGCCAATCATTTGAGCGGCAATGCCAATACGGCCTTCGTTTAGGAATCCAGCAGCGTATTTGTAGCCGTGACCGAATGTACCCAAAAGATTCTCTTCGGGAATGCGGACATTTTCGAAAGTCAACATGCAAGTACCGGAGGCGCGGATACCCAATTTGTCCTCGGGCTTATTGATGGTGAAGCCGGGGGTATCACGTTCAACAAAGAAGGTGGTAATACCACGGTAGCCATCTTCTGGTTTGGCATTGGCGAAGACAACAAATACGCCGGACAAATCAGAGTTGGAGATCCACATCTTGGAACCGTTTAGAATGTAATGGTTGCCGTCCTTTTTGGCTGTGGTCTTCAGCGAGAAGGCATCAGAGCCAGAACCGGGTTCAGTCAGGGCAAAACTACCAGGCTATTTAAAATATTCGAAAATAAAATATTACCATTTCAAATACTCAGTATTGCGACCATGTACTTACATATTCTTGGGCCAATTTGGGCAAGTATTTCTTCTTCTGTTCCTCGTTGGCTACCTTAATGATCAAAGAATTAACCAAGGTATTGTGAATATCAACCAAAGCAGCAACAGCTGGATCAACTTTGGACAGTTCTTCAACAGTCAGGATGGTGGTCAAGAAATTGCATCCACTGCCACCCAATTCGGTGTCGATTTCAATGCCCATGAAACCGTTATCGAACATAGCCTGCACGACAGAGGGTTCAAATTTGTGTTGTTCGTCCATTTTCTTGACATGGGGAGCAATTTGTTCCTGGGCGATCTTGGCAACTGTTTTCAAAAAATAAGAGAACACGAAAGATACGAATTATTGGATAATCAAATATTTTAATATGTTTTTACAAAAAAAAATTTGTTGTTTTGTTGCCCCGAATTCCGAATTCGAATATAGGAATTCAAATTTACATTTTTTAATATTCTAATACAGGGATTGTTTTCTAAATTGTTATCAATAGCTGCATTTTGAACGTCATTTACGATTAAATCACATTAGGTTGTGAAGGTGTGTCAGTTGTTGTTTTCACTTGATAAGAGATAACAATAACAAAAGTAAAATATTTTTATACCTACAAGATTGCATAATGACACTGGCTTGCAAACATTGTAGACATTTCATTTTTCAAAAATCGTTGTCGTTTTCATAGGAATGTTCAGGTCTTTTTCTCAGCTCTTTATATTAGAATAAAATCGTATTAATTGCCCTGATGCTAATCTACAATAAATTCAAGGCTTTCAATGCAAATCTGATGATTTGGAAATATGACAGAACAGCGTGTGTTGGACCGCTTTAAAAGATGCAGATAAAATACTGCTCTCATTGGGATGTATAGGAAATGAAATTGTCAAATATATAGCGAAAAGTATTTGATAACAAAACTAGATTTCCAGGTACATCAAAATCGATTATTTAAACAGTAGGTCATTTGGCTTTATTGGAATCTGCAAGAGATAAAAAACATAGAGCATGTAATAATTGTGGTTGATGAAAATCACTTCCAAGTGTTTAATTTTCCACCTTGAGTTTATCAAAACAATACAAATGCAGATATATATTATGAAACAAAGATAATTTTATGGAAAATCTAACTAGGCGTTGATAAGATAAAAAAAGTGATGTGTGGTTAAAACAATAACAATTTGCTTCAATTTATTATTTTTTTTTAAATATTTTCTATGCCTATGTATGAGCAGCACGTCTGGACATACATATATATACAGATAAAATACATTTAGAATAAAATATACCCAGGTATGTGATATATATATTTTTTTGTCAACTTTCCAACTAAGAACTGGGCCGGATTCATTGCAGCCATCAATTCAACTCTCTAGGAAAGTTACGGAAATTCAACTTCACAATCCATGTGAGTCCACTAGAACAGTGAACGACCACAGGCGTGAAACTGAATCCTAATTTATTCTATCACAAGTGTAACGCCGTTTAAACACTAAATACGTTCCACTCAACAAAGAGAGGAGCAAATTTAAACCGCTGACTAGGCTTGTGAATAATGATGTGATACGACGGCTGTAGCTTTGTTTATTAAAAAACCCTACCCCAAACAGTATTCTCATACAAAGATGAACAAACTAAAGCCTCGGCGTGTTTCGAACTCACAGCCTTGTGCTTCATAAGAATTTTTTCACAACACATTGTGCGGCTTGCCTACCAATTCGACCAACCCATGCCATGTCGTATGTCTAGCTACGTGTTCATTATAGAGAGAGGTGTGATTGCCTCTCCAAAAGGTTTCTTATCTGTTGTGCTCTGCAGCTATTTCTCTTTCTCTCTGTACATGTTTGTACAAATATATGTATGTATGTGGGCACGTGTATATCCAAATATAGACTTATTTATATAAAAAAAAAAATTAAAACAACAAATCGTTGGCATCAAACATCGACTGTTATTTATTCTAGTTAATGCAAATAAGAATAATTTTTATCTAAACGAATGTCTGTTTGGAAATTGTGTTAATTTATTTCCTAATTTGCACATCTGAAAAAAAGCAATTTCCACAAACTCACAGATTGGAGTGCTAACAGGCTATACGATCGCTGGCAAGAATCTACGGTGTCAGGTTCAAATCCCAAATTGAATAAATTTTTTTTAATTGGAAAATTTTTTTTTTCCGATTCCCTATGTCCTTTTTAAATATATAGATTACCAAGATATCGAATGAAACTTTGAAGTATACAAAGTATTGAAAAACGAAATCTTCACATAGAATTGAAAGCATAACATTTTATAAGATGTCTATTCATTTTTATCGAAAAAATATATATATGTGTGTGTCTATTTATTTTTGTCCCCTAACATCTCTGTAGAAAAGGACTAAACAAATGTGTATTTAAGAAATCATTTGCAAAGTGTTTTGACATTGGAAATGTAAATGTTACGTCACTAAAAAAGGTAGACTTAAGAGGATTAATTGCCGGATAAAAACGTTAGCTATTTTTATAAATATTTACCATAAAGATAAGTCGAGTCAACCTCTAATCAAATAGACCCTATCCACAATATTTAATAGTGCAATCATATTACTCGCAGAATTTTGTATAAATAAATTGATAAAGTTGAATATTAATTTTATAATTTTTTCAAATATTTATATAAGTAAAAGAAAATTCTAAGATCAGGCTAAAAATTCGATCCAGAAATTTCCAAAAATTAATAAAAAAAAAAATGAAAAGATTTTGTAGCAAAGTCCATCTCATTCTATGCATAGCTAATTTAGCATTTTCAACTTTCGAAGATTGCCTTATAATCAATGGCGTTAGTTTATAACACAAAAGATAACCCATGAATATCATAAAATATTTTAAAAATAATGAGAAATGTAGTCATGGCAATGCTATTGGCGTATTTTATCCTTGTCATGACCAAGCACTGCAGGGAATCAATCCAGTTTTCACTGATCTTCTTAACATGTGTATACAACAAATGATTGCAGCTTTGATATTAGTTATATAATGTAATTGATAACTTGGTTGCTCCATTTAGTTTTGCTTCCACTGTTAATTGACATTCATTGTGATCGTTCAAGTTTCTTGCATGTCTGTGTGTTTCAAACTGGGTAGATAGACAGACTATGAATAAATTATATTCTACGATTTGATATGGGCTTTATGCCATAAATGTATTTGTTGAATCCAAAAGGCAATTGTTGCTTGCCTGTCACCTATTGCCCGTCGAGTGAATGCAGAAAATAACATAACTAACTTTTTGATTTTATTTAGAGAATCATTTATAATGAAGTTATTTGCCAAAACCATACTGCAATTGAAATGAAGCACTTGCAAGACATTTAATATCGTCAGAGTGGACGCACACGCTTCATGAAACTTCATAAATTTTGATTTTGTTTTTTTTTTTAATTACGACGCAATTTAATTTTCGCATATCCATCAGTATGTTTGCTTTTGGCCAAATTCCTACGATTCGAGATAAACAAAGAAATTGAGTGAAACCTAACAAAAGTTACGTAACTTTTTTCGAAAAAGAAAAAAAAAACATGATGGACCAATTGCTTGCACCATCCGTCTTTAAGAACCGAACTACATGTTGTCACACCGCAATCTTACTCTTCCACGTAGACATGTTAGGAGTTAGTATGAACTTACCGGTTTCCTTCATCATCTTCTCGTCCTCGGTAAGGAAAGTCAAGGGGGTGGGAGTAGTGGCAGTGCCGGAGGACATAGCGGCACATTGTTGTTGACGCAAGGCATTGGCGATCTGTTGGAAAACGTAAACATAAAAAAATACATTAGAATATTACATAAATATTTTTAAATAGGTTTGGAGTTGTAGCAGTTGTTGTTGCTGCTCCTTTTGGAAAAAAGTGGTTGTTTCTTATTTTCATTTATGTTGCATGAAAAATTACTTACCAAACGTGTGGGCAATTTTCTCAAAACATTCATTTTGTTTTTGTTGCTAG